GAGGTAGATATCGAGTTCCCAGACGAGCTCCATGACTACTTCAAAGACTATCCTCCCGCGCCATCAAAAAAAAATTGTATAGATACCTGACTTGAGTACCGATCAAGTGGAAATGATGGGCAAATTAGGTATCACCAGTCTACCCAAAATGCCTAAGCTTATACAGTCTCTACAAGAAAAGTCAGGATATTTTTTGCATTGTCTGACCCTTCAGCTTTACATACAATTAGGTGTGAAGTTGACTCACCTTCATAGAGTGCTGCAATTTCGACAGTGTAAATGGATGGCCCCTTTTGTACAGATGAACATTGAGCTAAGAAAGAAGGCTAGGAACATTTTTTGAGGAAAGTTTTTATAAGCTCATAAAAAACTCATCTTTCGACAAGACGATGGAAAGCAAACGAAACAGAACAAAAATGAGTATAGTGCGTAACGAAACCGAGCTACTGCAAAAGTCGTGCCAGAGCTCATTGAATTCATTCCAATTTATACACGAAGTCTTTGCTACAATAACATTCAAACCGAGCTCAATCCAGTGGGATAAGCCAACGATCGTTGGCGCAGTAGTATTAGACATTGCAAAAAAATACATGTTCGAAACCCACTACGTGCAAGTGAAGCCAAACTTTAATCTTGAGCTATTGTACACCGATACTGATAGTTTTAATTATATGATAAAATGTGACGATATATACGAGGAACTAAAAGAAATGGGACACTTGTTTGACTTCTTGAACTATCCCAAACAATCACCACTGTATAATGAAACCCACAAGAAACAGGTGCTAATGTTCAAGGAGGGGATGGGTGGAGACTTGATAGAAGAATTTGTAGCAGTCAAACCGACATTATTTTCTCTAAAACTCAAAAGTAAGTGGTAAAAACTAATCAAATTCCACAAACCCAATGACAGAAAAATAATTAAATTTGGTTGGCACATTTAATACCTTTCACAATTTTCTTTTTTTTTTGCTTTTATGATAATTTGTTGATTGCGTACAGTAACAGAGCTCATTTTAAAAAAAAATATCTGTTTTTTGTTTTGTTTTAGATAGGAGCAACAAAGTCTCAGCGAAAGGAATCTTTTGGTATGCACAAAAACAGCTGACACATGATCGCTTTAAGGACGCCCCATTCAACCACAGAAAATTTCGAGTTAAAAACACGAGCATCAGATCGAAAAAACACGAGCTACAAATTTTCAACATAAATAAATTAGCGTTAACAGCTTTGGACAGAAAGAGATTCCTCCTCGGTGACCTGGTAATCTGTTTGCCTTTTGGTCACTTTTTGACCCGCGAAGATGAATTTAATAACCAAATTTTACTGGACGACTGGGATGGTAGTTTAGAAAATAACCCTTGTTTCTCTTCGAACACCATTTTCGATAACTTTAATACACAGCCAATTCAATGAGAAATAAATATTAATGACTCGGACTGGTCACCGCAGACCCAGGACTGTATAACAGAAAGAAATACACTAAGAAAGAATTGCGTGAAGATTGGGCTGGCAGTTCTAAAACTGTAGATAAACCTTACCCAAACAATCCTTAAATTGCGTTCGAGGCTCAAGAAGAACGTGACAATACTATGGTTGCTGACGGAAGTAGCAGTGAATTAGATAATACCAGTTCGGAGAGTGCAAATAACTCTCCAGTAATTGCCAAGAAAAGTAGAAGGGTTTTAAACCGCTCCCAATTAGACAATGATTAATTAACTAAAATAACTTTTTATATTTGATTTACCCCACTCTGATTAATATTTTGCTTGTAATATTTGTAAAGCTTAATTTGCAAAAAAAAACCATACCCAAATTTATATTTCATTTGTAAAATAAGCTCATTTTAATTTCATACTTACCACAATCAGTAATAGACCATTCGTTTCTATAATTTGTCCGGTTAAATTTCGGCAAATACCACTTGTCTTTGTTTCCAATTAAGTTCTACTCGCCGCTATAAATTCAATAAACCAACGCAACGGAAGAAATTTGATTTAGCCAAGCAAAGTAATTCCATACACCAAAATAGAATTCGAAGCTGGAAAGAAATGTTCCTGCAAAACTAAAGGGAAATGTTAGCGGTCAATGACGGCGGCAAAATATCATGCATTCTGAAGGAATGAAAGTAGGAAAAGAATCATGAATGTAAAAGGACTGAGAAAAAGAACGTAAAAAATTAAGGATCTTACTTTAATTATCCGCCAGGATCTAGAAAGTTGCTATATGGGTATATGACTCTTGGTAAAATCCTCAGGGGGAGGCCACCCAAAAATTTGGATCCTCAAGTGAGGATCTTGTAATCCACCAGCAAAATGCCGGCTGACTACAAGATAATTTTGGACCCCTTAGGTGTCGGATCTTAGGCGCCCACGTCTTATTTTAGGTGATTTCGCCCCCCCCCCCCCCAAAGAATCCCTGGCGGCCCCTCATACTACTGATATAGGTTTTCAGATTTATCAGTAATCTTGTTTTGGTTTTCTACTTGCTGTTTTAATGACCTTGGACTGAAGCTCAGGAAGAAAGTTCAAAATGACCAGTTCTACCTTATTTTACTTTTACTATTGATTATAAACCTGTTTTAAATTTTTGTGAATAACGCAGTTTCTATTTGCATTCACTCAACTTCACAACAACTCATCGCCACGAAAGTTGTAAGACTTATTGTAAAATTGTAACACTGTTCAGAGAATTTTTGCATAGAAAAGTTTAGAATTGGAAAAACCGTTTGACAGAGCCTACAACTTGTCCCACAGAGAAGAAACGATGTTTCAATAAATTAATCAAAAATCTCAAGATTGTACGACTTTGCAGGACTATCATGACCTCTGTCTAATCTAACATGCAATTTTTTTTCTCTAGAACTCAGTGTTTGAGGCAGCTTGATCAAAATGTCGCTTAGACTATTCTCACAGCCTCACTGCATTCAATCTTCCAGGCGATGATTTCGAGAGAGTTATTATTATCTACAATCAGCTGCTATTGGAAATTAAACACCTGGTTTTGAGGAAAACAATGTGAGCGTGGAGTAATTTCTTTTTTTTTCAAATCAGTAGAGCGAACAATTCAAACACGCAAGGTGAGCACAGCCCTTCGAAAGTCAAAACAATTTCGGTGACGCGTGGCAGAACAAATTTTTTACTTTTGGATTATTTTGTCGAGCCAACTTCGGGAGTCTGTGTGTACTTCAGTTTGGTAATTTCGAAATTAACAATGTTCAATGTGATATTACTAAGCCACAGTTCTGGTGTCAGCTTCCTTAATGTGATAGTTAGTGAGTCAGCTTGCTTAACTATGATAATTTGCGTAACGCAATATAAAACGAAAGAAATTTGATTTTAGAATTTTTTTATGAGAAAAAACCGTGAATTCATTCTTCTGCATTATCTTGAAAAGCATCCGTTGTTCAAAGTGACACTAAATACCAGGGGCGGATCTAGGATTTTCTCGAGGGGGGGGCGGATTTTCAAAAAATTTTCCAAAATTTTGACGACCTTTTTTTTTTTTTTTAGGTCGACCAAATTGATTTTTCGAGCTCTCCCAAAGCACTGTTTTGGCCCTACTTTGGCTAAATTTTCTGCGCCGCAGGCAAATTTTTGAAAAAACAGTCAAAAAAGCCGTTTTTGGGCAATTTTTGAAAAATTTTGACAAAAAAATTGCGTTTTTTTGGCACGCGCTCCCCCTCAAAATTAGTATATATTGGCGCCGAAGGCGCCTTTACAAAAATTTTAGGGTCGGTCGGCCAAAAATGGATTTCTGAAAAAGTATCAAAGGGGGGACCCTTTGGGTCGGCAGGGGGTCGAATCCCTAAGGGGGGGGGGCGTCCGCCCCCCCCCCCCCTAAATCCGCCCCTGCTAAATACGATTGTGACTTCAAAAAAGTGAGGGATCTGCGGGATCTGCAGACTTAAAGACCGAATTTTTTGCTCTGAAACTAGATAGTTTCAGGTGTTTCTCATAGAAGTATTTCTTATCATTTTTTCCACTAGATTGCCAATTTTTCTACTAGATTCACTAGATTGCCAAGTTCAAGGGCCACAGAATTTGAAAGACAGTTTTTCAAAATTTTTTAACCGATTTAAAAACTGTGTAGGATAGATTTAGTAAAGAGTTAGTTTTTATTTATTCATACAGACATCCGCAAACTCTCATTCAAATGCGTGAGGAGGGCAACTCGAAAACTTTGGATTCATTTAACTTATGATGAAACTTCTGAGATTGGCCTTGTTTTTCGGGTCGGAAGATAGTTGATTATCTTAGAGAAGCTTAATTTGAGTGCTATTTGTACGATCATATTTGGGTGTTCATACAAGTTTTAAAAACACCTTGAACACATTGGGTTTTAATTTGGAACAAAAACATTCTTCATGTCGTTGATAGGTTTGGAGATAGGTCTTCAAACCTACAAGAACATCTATCAAAAACTCATTCTGTATTTTCAACGATAAATTAGTTTTATGCTGGAAACCTTGTGCAAAACTCGAACTCTCAAATGCACGGAGATTTTTTGTTTCTAATGGCATGTTTATTTGTTCGATGAACTTGAACGATAAAAATATTGATTTTCAGTACCTTAATCAATTTGCAATTAGGCAGATATCGAAATGAATGATTCATCAATTTTTCTAATCAGAACAGCTTTTAGTTTCTGGTCAGCTTAAGGTACGTTTTTTCTATTAAACTAAATCGATTTTAAACCGATTCAAATCAATTTTTAAGGTATCTGCTACATTATCTGAACAAAGTCGATTGATTAATCCATTTCTTGTCAGTACGGGATATTTCGATGAGGTTAATTAATTTTACTTCTAAATTGTAGATTTTACTTTTTTTCTAATTAGATTTGTTCTACCGGCAAGTCTTAGGATAATCTTATTTAAAGTTATGAGAAAGGGCTAATTGATAGTATACTTTTTGATAGTCAAAAGCAGGTGAATTTTGTATCTTCAAATGGAAGAAATTTGTTTTTGTAGACAATATTTTCAAAGTAAGTGTTCATTTGAGAAGAAGCGGCCTTTATAGATGTTTTTACCTAAAACTAAATTTTCTGTCACTTTTGAGAATTTATTGCAGCACAATTTTTATCGAAAAAAAGACACCGATACCCAAAGTTACCACTCAATATTGGTGATCAGATTAAAAGAAAATTGAAACGTTAAGGAGTTTTTAAAGAGTTTTCAAAATTTGTTGATGAGGATTATTTTCTGACCGACATCAGTTACACAGGTGTTGATGGTTGAGACTTGCAGCTGTTGAGTGTCGTAATCATTTCATCACACAGCTTCGCCACCTGCGAGTTCTCCAGCTCCTAAAACAAGTTGTACCATTTTAAAGGAAGTGCGCAATAAGCTTCTGACATAAATTCAGTTTTTGTTCAAGACTTTTCTGGGTGGAGCAGCGGGCTATCTTTTCGGAAATACGTTGCCCAAATCAATATTTAAGATTCAAACCAATTTTTTTGTAATGCAGATCTGTCAAAAATTCTAACTTAGTTCTGACTTGGCGATACAGCTCCGTCAAAAATTGATTGAAAAATCCTGCAACTTCCAAGGAAAATAAACCCTGCGATTAATTTAGTTTAAAAGCTCCAAAACCAGGGGCGGATTTAGGGGGGGGAGGGGGCGGACGCCCCCTCTCCTCAGGGATTCGACCCCCTGCCGACCCAAAGGGTCCCCCCTTTGATACTTTTTCAGAAATCCATTTTTGGCCGACCGACCCTAAAATTTTTCTAAGGGCGCTGTTCATCAAAAATGATCCGAAGTTTTGTCGGCCCCTTACGTACTGCAGGCTAATAAGTACAGAAACTGCATTCATACATTTTAATGCATTTATGAATACCCTGAGGCAGGGGCGGATTTAGGGGGTCCCCCCTTTGATACTTTTTCAGAAATCCATTTTTGGCCGACCGACCCTAAAACTTTTCTAAAGGCGCCTTCGGCGCTAATTTATACTAACGTTGAGGGGGAGCGCGCGCCAAAAAAAACGCGATTTTTTTGTCAACATTTTTCAAAAAGTGCCCAAAAACGGCTTTTTTGACTGTTTTTTCAAAAATTTGCCTTCGGCGCAGAAAATTTAGCGAAAAAAGGGGCAAAACAGTGCTTTGGGAGAGCTCGAAAAATCAATTTGGTCGAAAAAAAAGGTCGTCAGAATTTTGGAAATTTTTTTTGAAAATCCTCCCCCCCCCCCCCCCCCCCCCCCCCTCGTCGAGAAAATCCTAGATCCGCACATTTAGTTTTTTTTTTTCAAAGAAAATTGGCCATCAGAATTGAGTAATTGGCTGTACATATGCCCCTTAAATCTTAAAAAGTTTAATTCTATCTACCTTCTGTTTGACTTTGTCTGTTAGCTGGCTGTTTTTAAGTTTCTGCAGATCTATCTCTGCCTTCAGTTGAGCCATCTTCTTTTCCAGACCCTCACACTTTTTATCAGACGATTCTTTGCCTCTATGCCAGACACAAACAAAGAATTATAAAAACGCTCATTTTCTTCTTTTATATAGCAAAAAAAATACGTTGCTTTTTTCTTGAAAACTTCAATTGGTTCATAATTATTTTCCCTAAACTTATAATAATTTCAACCAATCAAATTTTGAGAAACCGATAAGATCCAATCCCTACATGAGGGAAAAGATGGACGAATGAACTGTTTAGTTCGTATCAGAGAACCGCCTTCGATACTTTTTTCAAAGCTGCTTCCTTTGTTCTGATAAGGTTTTGCGATCGAAAAGTTTGTCTCACCTTAATCAGTAAACACAACTTTTCCATTTTGACATTTGCTGTAAAAATGTAAAGCTTTGATATCTGCTCAAAAAATTAGTTGAAAATTAATAAAACTAAAAATCCCATTAATTTCGTGAGCGGATGATACCAATCTCAATTCTATAGTTATTGTCAAATTGATAGACAAATTGTTTGTCTTGACTATATTAATTGGTGGGAAAAAGGTCATTGTACTTAATAAAGAGAAACAAATTTTTGACAGTAGTTCATAGGTAATAAATTGATTTACAAAACTTGTTTTTGGCGCCTTGAGTTTTGTTCAGATTATCCAGACCGAGACGTGTATTTTTGTTTTGGCTTTCTAACCTGGCCATCTGCTCTTCAATCTGGTCGGCTAATCTGTGTCTCAATTCCCTCTCACTCTCCAGGTGTTTCAGAAGGAGTCCAAGGTACTTCTTTGCATCAGTCGCTGCCTACAAAAAACTATGTTACCTTATAATTTTGCAACACTCAAATTAGACGTGAAATAATCCATTCCAAGCGTTATCTAAACATTTCACAACCCAAGCGTTTGTTAAACATTTTGCAACCCATTTCAGATCTGAAAAAGTTACTTCAGACTTGAATTAGATAATTCACCAGGCACGGGTGATCACAACTTTGTTTTAAAAGTATTGGTAACAGAAGATACATCTAAAGCCAAATTGATGGTAATATCCTTAACCTTGAACGCTTTAAGTGTTCAGAAATCAGTGCCCGATTAAATTGACTCGTTTGACATAACAAATTTCGAAACATGAAAAAGCCAAATTCACCTTAACAAAAAAGGCGCATAGCATTACGTTAATGCTTTCTTAAACTGACATATTATAGTTCGCGTCTCTATCATTGGCATTTACCAAGGAAAACCTTCCAACATAAATCCAAACTTCCATTCTACCACGTTACGCAAAACGGAGGGCCAAAACTTCGCAATTTGGATTTCGAGGTGACTTACGCTTTTGAAGTGGGGGTAGTGTAACTTGACTAGATCGTATTTCTTGTGCAGCTCTGAGAAGCTCTCCTCCACCGCCCAAACATCTGTGGTCAGCTGAACAAAATACACTAATTTACTCAAAAAACTAGTTTGTTTCAATACAAAGAAATCCGAAAAACATCCAATGTGCATTTAATCAGATCGCGTCTTGTTGTTCCGACTTTCAAAGAAAGTGCGGAGTATTTATGCTTGGCGTGGCTATTTTTTATTCAACCAATTTTTGACTAGTTAGTTAAGCGTTTTGGACAAAAATTTTCATACCATCTGAGAGATATTGTTATCCTAAGCTCTAATTTAAAAATATATATCAGCTGTGATCCTTTTTCGTAAAAGTACAGGCGTTTAAAATTTGCTAATTTGGCCAATTTGGGATAATATAAGTGGAATATATTGCTTATATTTATAACACGCTTAAGAAGCAAACAAGACTGCTCGTATATCAGGGCGAAACCCTTGATGTTCCGACTGTCCCTTAACTTATATCGAATAATTTTCGAAAAAGAAAAAAATACTGAAAACCTATACATTTTGGACAAAATCAATGTGTAAAATTTTGAATCGTACGGCATTAATACGACCTATTAGCTAGCCTCAATTCAATTTGGAACGATTTTGTTGTGCGGGATAATTCGCCACGCATAAATGATTCGCGTTACGATCTCAGCATAATGAAAAAACTCTTCACAGCGCGCATAAATTAGTCCAGAACATGGCAAAGTTGGCAATTTTCAAACCCCCAGAATTTTACAAAAAATTATAGGTGAGTTATTTTTTTTACGTTTGAACTCAAGAAGACGGATATCTTCGAGGGGGTATAAAAAATTTTTGTTGAAAATAATTATTTCAATCGGTGAAATTTGACTGAATGAAAAAAACCACACCGAGCATAAATATTCCCTTTTCTTCGAAAATCGGAACAATTAGTGCGTTACAAATTGAATTGAGGCCAGCAATCTAATCTGATTATCACAATACGAGACGCAAAACTCACCCCTAGAGTTTTACATTGCGTGTGGGGGGATAAAACGAAGAAAAACTGCAAAAAAAAATCTCATTTATTTTGTCAATTATTCAACCAAAAAAATTTTTTAAATTGGCCTTAAGTGTAGTTGGAATATTTAGGGCTTTGCCCTGATATACGAGCAGTCTTGGTTCAGTCTCAATTTGAAATTTTTCTGGAGAGAAGGAACGAAGAAAAATACAGCACATTTTTTCCTATGCTCTCTCTTCAAATTCCCCCTATGTTTAGACAATTTTCGTTTTCAAAGTACAAAGAACAGATGTGCTCAAAATTAATTAGTTGTTCACCATGCAAAAATTCATTTAATGGAAGCTTTCGATTGGTTTTCCAATAATGGAACTTAGAGGTTGGCAGGAAGTTGATTAACGCATTTTCCATTATGTCGTTTTTCCATACTAGCCTCTACTCATTTCGAAACGTTTTCTAATCCGGCGATGTAAAGTACAGAAAATAGATGTGCTCAAAATTAGTTAGATGTTCACCATGCAAAAATTCATTTAACGGAAGCGTTCGATTGGTATCAGGGTGACGTCTTGAATGTACCGCCTCCCCTTTAATATCGACCAAGTTGTGTTCAATTTTAATAACTGGATGAAAATTTGAAGAAAAAAAATGAATATTTTTGATTTTCATTTCAAAAACAACCCTTACACGCTATTTACAAGCCCAAAAGAGTATTTAATTAGATCAACTAGCCTCTACTCATTTTGAAACGTTTTCTAATCCGGCGATGTAAAGTACAGAGAACAGATGTGCTCAAAACTAATTAGTTGTTCACCATGCAAAAATTCATTTAACGGAAGCGCTCGATTGGTTTTCCAATAATGGAACTTAAAGGTTGGCGGGAAGTTGAAAAACGCATTTTCCATTATGTCGTTTTTCCATAGTCTGCCAATGTATTCTTTACTTACACATATTCTTTCAAGGACTTTTTTCCCGAAATCTAGAACCCTCAACTTCGATATTTTTTTTGTTGCGAGTCTTCATATCATTGTTCAAAGCAAGTCAAAATCTCATTGAGGTTTTAAAAATCGATGTTTTCATTTATATTATCGAGTTTGTTAGAACTAGTTTTGTTTTAATACCCAGTTTGGTTCAATAGGTTTCCTGTGGGTAACAAGACACCTTCATTTAAAATTAATGGTCGATTGTGCGTCTGCAAACATCATGGGTCAATCCGAAACTTTTAAAAAAATTTTGTTGTCCAACAAAGCTGCTTGTATCAGGGTGACGTCTTGAATGTCTGGCCTCCCCTTTAATATCGACCAAGTTGTGTTCAATTTTAATACCTGGATGAAAATTTGAAAAAAAAAACGAATATTTTTGATTTTTATTTCAAAAACAACCCTTACACGCTATTTACAAGCCCAAAAGAGTATTTAATTAGATCAACTAGCCTCTACTCACTTTGAAACGTTTTCTAATCCGGATTCAATCACGCTTACGAGTTTAGTAGCATAAAGGTTGGCAATTTCCAGATCCACAAACTTCTGCTTGTGTGTAATCATTATATGGCAGTTACTATAATCGTACTTGTAATAAATTTTTGCCTTAAGCTTTTAAAAAAAAATTTAAAAAAAAACTTATCAAGAGAACGAATTCATCGGAGCTCATATTTAATGTTTTTTAAAAAAAATGAGGGATAATTTTTAAGCTTATCGCATTTAACGCCTATTTTATGTCAGTACAATCCATTATAATCAATTATAATAAACTATTATGGAATTTCTGAGAGGTTATTGATGAAATTCACAACATTTAGGAAAATTTTATCTCTTCTAATGTTTAGCGCAGCTGCTACGCCTTTCGTTTCATAGTTTCTTGCACGCCACATACTATATTTTATATCTTCTTAGATATTTCTATTCTTTCTCTTTTTTCAATTCTAATTCATGGCAGCTCGACATTTTATTTATTATTTAATCAAACTTTTTACCCTTAACCCGCCAATTGCTGTTTGATACTTTTATATTTGTAACATTTGTAAATTACATAGCACAAAAATTTTGCAAAATTAGCAAAACTTCTGCTAAACAATCGAACTTAGTTCTGAAAACAGAATGGATTATAGTGGATTATAATGAATTTAAAAAAAAATTTATTAAAAGAACATTAATTATTATGGATTATAGTGATAAAACTAACCAATTTCAGTGTCAAAAAAATATGGTTGTTATGGTTACTATAAGTTAAGGTTGATAATAAAATGTAAATGGGCCTTTTCGTGAATGCAAATAGTTCTATTTCAAAACTAATCAGTTATATTGGATTTTATTAACCGATTTTTTATTCATTATAAGGAAAATGTAATCACTTTTGAGGTCCGAATTTTTTTTATCTATAATGGATTTCAATGCATTATTTTTTGTCTCAAAAATCCACAATTAATGATAAAAAATCATGGGTGCCCGGACCTGGTTAGGTTAATAACTTTCAACAGGTTATGTACAATTCTCATTGAAAACTCACTTTTTCATATGGCAAGTAAACGAACTCTTTGCTTCATTTCTTACCAAAATTATGAACATTTTACTGGAGATTATTTTGCTAATTTCGTTTTTCTTACCAAAACAAAACTAGTTTCAGCTCCATTACTCAAAAAAAATTCAAAAAAGATACACAGGCCTCATTTTGCGTTCCACCGTAGCGATTACACAAAATGAGAAGCGATTACACAAAATGATAATTTCAAATACGGTTTTGCACACTGAAGATATATCATTCCAGCAGTGCTGACTGACCAAAAAATCATTAACTACTTACTTTCAAGGTTTAGCTAGAAGTTCATTTGAAATAGCGAACGCTATAAGTTCAAAAAATGAACACATATTCTGACAAACCCTCTAAATCATCCTGATCTGGTCTTCGCTTGGCTAAAAAAATTATTTCCTTTCAAATTCTCACAAGGAAGTTTCAATCAGATTTTGTGGGAGCTGCCTTTTAAAATGGGCTGTGACTTCCATAAAACTCATGTGGTCTAAAAGATGAAGTTTGAAATTAGGATTTAGGATAGGTGCTTGCCAATCCCAGTATTGTTCAAATTTTTTCTGTCAGCAAGTCTTGCCTAAATTCAAAGGTTTCTATTTCAAAAAAAATGAATTTTAGTCAATTATTTGACAAAAATAACCGTTTTCGGTGCCAAAAAAAATAGATTATGGTCCTTATGTTTATCATTGATCAGGGGCCAATGATAAACGTGTTCGGAGATGATTTGGGGGGGGAGGGGGGGCGGTCGCCCTCTTCAGGGATTCGACCCCCTACCGACCCAAAGGGTCCCCCCTTTGAACTATTTTGAGATTTCCATTTGTGGTAACGGGCCCTCAACTTTTTCTAAAGGCGCCTTCGACGCCAAGTTATACTAATTTTGAGGGGGGAGTGCGCGACAAAAAAACGCAATTTTTTGGTCAAAAGCTTCCATTTTTTGGCTGTTTTTTCCAAGTTTTGCCTAGGGCGCCAAAATTTTGGCCAAATCAGGGTCTTTCAGTGTGTTTGTAGTGCTTTGGGAGTGCTCGTAAAATCCTTTAAAAAATTCCGACAAAATTTCCAAATTTTTTTGAAAATCCGCCCCCTCCCCCTCTCAAGAAAATCCTAGATCCGCCCCTGTTATTGATTATGGTTATTACTAAAATGCATGTGTATCAATTCGTGAAAGCAAAAAATTTTTTGATTTCAAAATGATCAATTAATGTGGATTATATTGATAAAAAATAACTAATTTCAGTGCCAAAAAAATAGCTTATGGTTCAAAATAATGCATTTTAAATGGATTTTTTTCAATTATAATGATGATAAAACCGAGCTCGTCGTCTGAATTTTACATCTGTAAAAAATATAATGGTTTGCTTATGTCCCTAATCCTCAATAATCTTTTAAAATGGTCTGTGACTTCAATAAAAAAATTTTGATTAGAAATTGAAAATTTAGAAAAAATTAGAATAAGTGCTGACCAATTGTACTATTTTTCAAAAAACTTTTGTCAGATCGGCTCGCAAAAAAAAACACTTTGAAAAGTTTGGCTAAAAATTAAAAGAGTTCATATACCATCTTTAACATCTTGCTGTTCTCAATAAATGAAATCTAAATGTACCATTTCGTTGATAGAAGATAGGTTCTCTTTCAGTTCTGTCCTCGTCCTGATGTATTCCTCGGTTTCTTCGCATTTGGTCTCTACAGCTTCAATCGACATATCCACCATGCACCTAAAAAGGCTTCGTTTGACTAACAAGGTTTAGGGAGTATTTACAGAAAAGTAAATTTTGACAAAAACTTTCTAAAACCGATTTTGTTTGAGTTGAGAATGAGTTTGAACTCAATTCAATTTGGATTACAGTTGCTACTTTTTCTCAAAAAAACAGAGGAAAATAATATAAAAATCTGGCTCTGAAATTGTTCTGGAATCTGAGTAGATCAGAATCAGTTCCTTTTTTCTCAGCTAACTACCAAATCTAAATTTTTTCAAAGGTATGCAAACCTGTTTACTCCGCTAATGAAGCACGTTGTGTCGTCCAACAGTAATGATTGCTCTTTTAAAGCCTTCGACTTGAAGCTTTCATCCTCAAACCTCCCATCCTGTTTGATACAGAGACTCAACTTTTCAGCTTCAATGTTCAGAGAATCCGGTTTTTGCGCTTGTTTAGACTCGACGTTTCTATGTGGTGCATCGTTTGTAGCTTTACTATTAGCGGAGTTCTTCTGTTTAGGTTTTTTAAGGAAAGTTCCAGTGGTTTCTGCGTTTTGGTTTCCAGAATTCAGCTCCTCAACTTTGTTTTCATTGTCCGTCTCTTTTTCAAATGATTTTCGGTAGCTAGTCGGAGGTTTCAAGTTGCTTTTCTTGCGCACGAAAGTTCCGCTTGGAAACGCATCTGTGTTCTTACTATTTGCATGGGTAGGAGTTTGGAACTGCTGATTTTGTTCAGTTTTTTGCATAGAATTGTCTTTTGAATCGTCTTTCGAATCATCGTTCGGCTTTGTGGATATTCGATTTCTCGGGCGCAAAAAAGTGCTTTTACCGTCATTTTGTGATTTGGCTTCCAATTCAGAAATAGGAACTGATTCTTCGCCTGAAGGTCGAAGAGGTTCGGACTCCAAGGTCAGCTTGGACGGTTGTTTTGGCTGATTCTTCCTAGGTTTGGTAATTGTTGCGAACCCGCTTGTTTGTAAACTATCACTTGCTTCTGGTGTCATGTGAATAAATCCGTCCTCATGTGGTTTTTGAGTTTGTTCAGACTGTATTTCGGCTTGGCTTTCATTTGTTTTATTGAGCATATATTCATCAAAAGTTGGTAAAGGTTCAGCTTTTACAGAAACTTTGTCTTGATCATGGCTCTGACATTCAACGAAACTACTGTCATTGTTCATACAATCTTCTTCTGCCATTTCGAACAGCTTCAAGCTTCCTGTTTTTCGCTTCATTTCTGAGTTTTTAAGAAAACGTGCAGGAAGATTAGTTGGTAATTTGTCATCGAAATCAGGTACAAAATCTGGAATAGCCGCAAGATCAAAGCTCTCTGCGTGGCTAAGCCCATGTGATTGCTTTCCATCATAGTTTAACTCAGCTGAAGCTAAATATGGCTGAGCTCCAAAATCTGGAGGATCCAGCGAATCTTCAGGAGTTTTAGGAACCAGCGATTTTCCGTTCTGGTCACAATACCTCATATCTCTAATCTCTTTTCGTCTCAAACTCTGAGGCGAGTCTTTTTGGTAATCAGATAAGGGGTCAAGGCTGTCTAGTATGTAAATACCGTCTGTCGATGAGCAAGGTGAAAATACTGAAGAAGCTACTCTGGAACTTTTCAATCGGTCCAGATCTGGAAAATCTTTTGGCACGCGTTCCTGATCTAGTAAAGATTCAGTTAATTCCAAATCTTGTCCAAAAATTCTGTTGCTAACACTGTTTGAAGAACTGGTTTCGATGTTTTGATCCGAAATTGTATTTGAAAATTGGTCGTATACCCCAGGAGAATAATCGGCTAAATGAGCAGTTCCTGAAGGCTCGTCTAACTGCTCACTACTTGAAAATTCTAATAAATTAATAGAACTGTTACCATCTTCAATCTGCAAAAGATTAGATTCCTTTTCTGCTTGTGAGTAATCAGTATTTAATTGCTCTTGGCTCGCATTTTGTGTAGAGTATAAGCCAAAAATTGGCAAAGACGTCCCAGCTGAATTTTGATAATCATTGTTAAAAATAGACTTGCTGCCAAAAATCTGAGAAAAATCTGAAACGTTCGTTATCGTGTCGTTTTGGTAATCGTCATCACAATTAAGAAGCTCAAAACTTTTTTGACGGTTCTGAAAAGAACTTCCAAAAGTTGACTGAGGTTGCGGACTCTTCGACTGTCGATGTTTACTTGAAGGTCTCGGAAGCTCTGGAAAGGGTTCATCAAAATCAGGACAGAGGTCAATTAGGTCTAAGCTAGGGTCGTATAAGTTCATTTGCCGCTCTTGATCGTTGTACGCATCTAAAGTATCAGGACGTGTTCTCGACCCAAATTGTTGCAAGTAAGAACCATCGTCGTTATAAATTTCTCGTTGAAACAGCTGTAACGAAAGGTCTTCGGTTGAAAGGTAAACAGATTCGTTTGATTTCTGATGCTGTGTTCGGACACTATCACTGTCTGCAATATTGTAATTCTTGTCAGATTCACAAATATCTGATGTACCAGTTGTATGATGATCAGTGGGCCTTCAAAAAGAAAAAATGGATTTGAGAAAGTAAATAATTTGACAATCCTTGAAAATTCAGAAAAAGAATGCCGAACTCTGGATAATGTATATGTAAAATTTAATTTTTAAGTGCTCTCATTAAATTAACTCATTTTTGAATCAGCACGCTTGGTATTGAGTATAATTTATCTTTAAATTGCACCTCAATGGCCTAAATAGTAGAAGCTTACCAAGTAAATCAGGCGTAACTACAAAAGATACTAAAAGATCTGGCCAAATTAACCTGTACCGACTATTAGGACGTTCTATATTATGGCAATTAGTAAATTTATTTTAAAAAAATCGCACAAATATAGATTTAAATTAACGCGAGGGAAATGATTTTGAGTAATAGGATCTGTAATGCTGAATGAAAGTTGTGAATTTGTTGAGAAAGAAAGACAACAATTTTCTCACCTTTCATGTTCATTTCTCTCATGTTGTGTGTACAAATTCGCAAGCACTGCTTCGGGTGGCAGACTTGACGAGGTACGAGTCGGCTTCTCGGGAGCACGAGTTGTGATCGAATTCGACCTAGTTGTCCTCGGTTGTCCCTCTTGAGGCCCTTCGTGACCTTTTGAGTCCTGTTTTGGGTGCTGAAGGGTAGTGAAGCCTGAAGGGTGAGGGGGTGCAGGTTCGAAACTGAAGTCAGTCGCTGCTGTCACGGTTCCTGGAGTTGATCCGCTGGGCGACGAAGTTAAGTTGAATGAAGAGTTGGAGCTGAGTCGCTTGCTCAGCTGAAAATTGATCAATCGTGCTGATGCTTTGAAATCATTTTTGTCAAAATGGCGTTTTAATTCTGAATGATACAGTGCTGATTTAAATTATCCGGACAAAACGAACAAAATTTGAATTTTGAAACGCGTTTTTCTCAAGTTGGGTTAAGATAAGACAAAAAATGAAGAGAACAAAAATTGCTTAGATTTTCACAGAATTAATATGGTGCAATTTTTTCTCCGAAATTCTCAACAAAAATTTTACCCCAAAAATGGGTCATTTTGGTTTTTTTTTCACTTAATCAAGAATTACGCTGAAACTATTTTGTTAATTGAGGAAAAACACTTCACAAGAAGCCTCTTACACAGCCCAACAAAGTTTAAGCAGGGTTAAATCTCCATAAACCTGTATGAGAAAGAAAAAATTACTTGATAGTCAATAAATGTGATTTTTACTATATAAAACCCAGAATTTTTGCTTAATAACAAGTTTTAAAGAATTTGCGCAAGTTTTTGGAGATAAAACCCTTCTTAAAGTTTGTTGGGCTAGGTAAGGGGCTCACTTTGATATAATTATATTTGTGATCAACACATGATATTTTTGGCGTAATTTTTGATTAACTAAGATAAGCCAAAATGACCCATTTTTGGGGTAAAATTTTGGGCCCGAATTTCGCAAAACAAATTAGATCATATTAATTCTGCTAAAACTTTAAGCAAGTTTTTTCTTCATAAGTTTTCACTAAAACTCGACCCAATTTGAGAAAAACGGGTTTTAAATTTCAAGTTTAACGCGTTTTGTCCGGTTAATTTAAATCAGCACTGTACAATAACAGTTGCTTTGCAATCAAGATATTTCAACTATAATGAAAAAATCAGTTGGTACAAAAGTTTTTTTTGGAAAAGTAAGAAAGTTTGAATTAAATACTAATATCCTAACTTCAAAAACTATGTTCACTTTTCTGATCAAATTCAGCAAAAAATAATTTAGTTTCACAGTTAAATTTAAAAAAAAACGACTTTTAGTGTCTGTACCTTTGCGAAGGTGCGTCTAGGCGTCAGAGGAGCTGCACCTCCCGAGGGCGAATCGCCCACTCCTCTACTCTCTTCTTGGCCCATGTTTAAGAATAGGTTCTAATCTCACTACTTTACAATTCCTGCAATATAAGTGTGTGTGCCTGCTTACTTTAAACGGTATAAATTCATGGTTGGGTAAATGCTGGAATTGTGGAACCTTGCGCACACTGGAAAATTCGAACCGTTCGTACACTGGAACTATGGCAGACTTTTAGCACGTTTATGGTCCGAGTTATCCCACTTTTGGTTTTAGCACGTTTATGCGCCGAGGTTTCCCAAGTTTGGTTAGCTTTCCCTCTTTGGAACATTCTGAAACGTTCCTGGAAGTTTGAAACTAAAGTTTTGTTTAGACATGCATTAACTTTCGCTTTTGATCTTAGCGGCCATGATAAATGGTTAAGTCTACTCTTCCTACAAGGTTTAACAAAACTTTGAAATAAGAAGCATTGCATTGGCTTACCATACCCACGCGGTCACTTACGATACGACTGCACAACTAATGCATCTAGTAGTTTGCATCCTTTTTCAGAAAGTTTTGCTTAAAAACATAAATTTCTATGTTATAGAACAGACGATTTATCACAACTATAAAAGAAGATTTACAACTTTAAAACATTATTTAAACAATTTGTCCTTTATTAATTAAAAAGACGTATCAAAAATGAAAGCTCCACTCAGCTCCTTTTAGAGTGAACATTTGGCGAACTGAGTATATTGTATTAATGCTGCATATGTTAATTGAGGGTTAGTTTGAGTGTATTCAGGGCGTCAATCACTGGACCAAATCCAGGGCTGAGATTAAAATAAGACACTTCTCTTTGGCAACCCGGACGTTTTGCTGGTCTTTGGTGGCCTTGAACAACTGGCGTTGACATCTGGCCAGTTCTAGACAGATCACGCCTGGCTGTTTCTGTTCACGCATACTCCATTCCAAAGTCATGAATTCGGTCAGCTGTTCAACTGGGAGGTGTGTCAAGTCTCGGGCAATCTAGAAAAGTAAAGTTGGGCTTCAATCAAGTAGTAGATGATAACTATAATCACAACTAAAAAAATCTTTGATATTGTAAATGAAATTTATAAAATGTAGGTTTAGGAAAATTCGATAAAAATATGATATATGTTATTTTGTTAAGCGACTTGTTTTTTGAATTTTTTTCAAAATGTTCAGCAAGTTTTCATGAGTCATTCATTAAGATATTTCATGAGCAGTTAGGAACACTATTTTGATAGAATCAGTAAAGTAAGTGAAAAGATTTCATAGAGAAGGTTCTAGAATGACTCGTCTTGTTCTTGTCTTTGGCTACTATTCTTTCCTTCATTCCCATAGAGAAGTTCTTTACCTGTTGTTTGGTGTAACGCATGGACTTGAGTTTCCTGAAGGATCCATTCCAGTGCATCAGGTGGAGTTTGAGCAGCATGTGGAACCTTTCAGCTCCTGAGGAGTTGCTCCTCGAACTGCTCAACACATAGGACATGGCCTCGAAGCTCTCCTCCTTGTCACACTTGATGTTGGACACCTATAGAGATATAGACAGAGAGAATCAAGGACAAGTTTGTATAATGCAACTTGAAGTTATTTTTAGCCGCTTAGTTATAAAAAAAGTTTAGCTAAGAATTCTAAAATTTGTGGTTTTTGTCATTTAAAGGGCAATAATCATCCTGCTAAAGTTTGTGCAAATAAGTAGAGAAAAAACAGTCAAACGTACAAGTTTTATCTTAATGTATACCAAATTAAAAAAATAGTTTTGTAGAAACTAATCAAAACATAACACTCGCCGATTGGTTTTGAATGATCTCTTCAAGTGTCGAATCAAAGGACTCATCGTGACCACTGAATTTGTTGTTCACATTGTTGCCCTTTTGGTTCACATTGCTACTATTATTTCCATTCTGTTCGTGGAAAATGTGGCCTCCGAACATGGAGTGAATCAACGCAACTCTAGCTGCAAATTGTCTCGAATTAAGAGCATTTCTGCACCTTTGTGGGTTTGCGAAACAATGACCGGTGGGTAGGGTCACGAAACTGGTGTAGCCCCCCTGAACGAAGGTGGTCTCGTAAACAATCAGGCCCTGGTAGTTGTTGGGCTTGCTGGTCCAGAACTGCTCAAGCATGTCCATGTAATCGACTGAAACAGAAATGAAATTATTTGCTATGGAAGCTATCAGGAATAATTAAAAATTGTTTTTGTTTTTCTTGTTTATGGAAGCTATCTAAAAATTAGAGATTTGTTTTTCTTGCTAAAAAATGATAGAAATAAACAATAAACCGAACACCCATGATTTGAAGAATCTCCATTCTTGATAATTTTTTGAAATCTAAACTTCTTAGATAATTTTTTAATTCTAAAATTCTTTAAAAGAATTAAATTAATGGATTCAAAGCAAAAATACCTGGTCTGTAAAATATCTGGTTTTTCTCGGAGTCCGAGGGCTGAACTCGGGTCTGTTTCCCTCCAAAGTGTTTGGCAATATTCTTCTTCATAAACTTCAACATTTTTTATACGCAGTGTCTTTGTTTAAAAATGTTCTCTCAAAGGTGAAAGAATTATTAAGAAATTAGTTGTCGATCAAGATTGAAATCATAAAAAGTTATAAGAAACTTTTAAATCAAATGCAAAAGTCAGAAAGTAAAAAAAAAAGAAACTTGGGAAAGTTATAAGAAACTTTTCAATTTTGAAATCAATAGAAGGTTTTGAATACTTTTGAAATAGTTGTAAGATTATGATCGGTAAAAGTTTGAAACACAAGCTAGGGTCTAAAGGGTAGATAATGAAACGATTAAAGGTCAATGAATTTTTAGCTTTCGAGTCAAATAATAATTATCCGATTTAAGAATCGAGTACTTATAGTCGGGTGGGGTATAATCCTTGGGAATTACGCGGTTGCACTACAGGCGGTCGGGTCTTAACAGTTCAGAGTCTAAAACAGATGTGCACTGAGAATGCGTTCGGATTTTGTCACAGTGTGAAGTGCTAGCTTTTCACGCCTTAGTCTGCTCTCACGAACAAAATGCGGCCGAAACGATGCAAAACGAGCAGGTATTCTAATTAGACAAATGAACCAGGAAGGTCAGAGTCGAAATCTTTTCGGTTTTGAGAAATTTTAATTGTCGAAGCAAGCAAAAGCCTGTACATTAGAGAAGCATTAGTTAAGTACTAGATAATTTTCACAAAAATCTCATAAGCCTAATTCATTTAGATCGAAGTATTGAAACAGAGTTAATGAGTATTGAAAAATACAATTTGTTCACAGGATGTGTTTTGTGAGCTCTTTGTGTTAGATAAATAAATCCCACAGGACCAGCAGAGCGTCGAGGAGTAAGGGGGGACTGCATCATCGCTTCGATTCGAATTCCATTTTTTTTCCCAAAAGACCCTCCGAAGGTTCTATTAGAGATTCCCCTTTTAACTGTTCCTCCTTTTGCAATGGAGCGTATTTATTACTAGGTACAAATTTTGCTTATGTTTAACCGTTGAATTAATTTTTATGGGGTGGCAATTCGTAACTGGGTACCGCAGGGGGGAATAGTTAGAGAGATCCCTATTTCCCGACATTTTTGATCGACCGCCTCAAAAATTGTTTCAAATTATTTCAAAATTATTTCAACTTCTGAAACGCGCCATTATACACTAACTTCGACTGTTGAGCACGAGACAAATATAAACGCAAGATTTTGGTCTAAACCTTCAAAAAGGGCCAAAAAAGCAATTTTGTTCCATAATGATTTCTCAAGCCGCCAATGTACACCAACTTTGACGAAGGAGCGCCGATTAAAAAACTCAGTTTTGGCTTAAACAATTTTCGCAAATTGTTATTGTCTACCAAAAGTTACGTGCAGTGTGGAACGTATTGCAATATATTAGGGATGGATCTAAAATGTTCTCAGAAAAAGTATCAAAAAAATTTGCCGAATTTTTTTAACGTTGACTAAATTGATTTTCCGAGCTGTCCCAAAGCTCTAAAAAGACCTGTTTGGCCAAATTTCCTGCGCCACGGGCAAAATTTTGAAAAAAAGGTCACACAAAGGCGCTTTAGGCACTTTTTTTGAAAATTTTGACAGAAAAATTGCGTTTTTTCGGCGCGCGCTTCCCCCTCAAAATTAATAACTTTTAGGGTCCGTCAGACAAAAATGGATATCTCAAAATAGGACAAAGGGGGGAGCCTCTGGGTCGGTAGGGGGTCGAATCCCTGAAAAGAAATCGTCCGACACAAACCGCCCCCCCAAATATCTGTTGTTATATATGGATGTTCTCGAGCAGAACTCAGGAAAAAAATCTTGCCGCACCAAAAAGGTCCAAACAGAATTTCGAACAATTTTGCTGACCTTTTATAAAAGTACAAAATTGATTTTTCAGAGCTCTGCCTTGTAATGACCTTATATAGCAAAATTTTCTACGCTTGGGAAAACCTTCTGCGCTAATGGTATATTTTGCAGAATGAACCGGATGTAATAAATCAGCGAGATTGGTCTCATCGGACTGAAAGAGAAGAGAAACAGTAATGACAGACCAATTCGAATTAGAATAGAACCTACTAAAAACCCCCACACTTAAATTAGGAGACTGTCACATGGCATCCTGCATTTGGTTTTTTGCCACAGCTCAAAACTTTGTTTTTTTTCCGAACCGCACATCATCGTTGAAACACGGGAGTTTGATATTTAAAAAAAATGACGTGAAAAATTGCATAAAAAACTGCTCCTTAAGAAGACTTTGTACTCGAATGTTTTTTCGTGTTTTTCAACTTTTTAATTGCCCAAGCAAAATCAGATGCCACAAAAAATCGTCAGAAGTGGCCGAGTGATATTTCATATTAAAGCCACTGCAGTCGTGATTCGAGCACTTTTAAGAATATTCTCAAAAACTACGCACGCGGTGTAGAAAAAACCGGATTAATTTTTTTAAAGTTTTTTTTACTAATTTTTAGATAAAAGAGCGAGCGGGCAGACTTATAATACGCAAGCAATGCCAAACTTAGCCTTCTTGACAAAAAAATCCGTAGAAAAAAGGAAGAAATCTAAAAAAAAATTGTGGAAATTATTTTTTACAACTAAAATTTCGTTGTTATGGGTTGTTACCCATGGAGCGCTTTTTTTCATATTTCCTAAATCGTTTCCAAACAAGTGCTTGAGTCGCAGCTATAGTTCTGAATTTGCTTTTGAGTTAAAAAGATATCGAGGCGATTCAAAAATAATCAAGATAGAAATCAAAACACTATTTTACACGAATTCAGATTTTTTCGCTTGTTGAGGTAGAAAGATTTTGGGGAATGTTTTCAAGTTAACAAAACTTGCAAAATTTATTTTGTGGGGACGCGCGCGCCAAAAAAATGCAAATTTTTGGTTAAAACGCTTTTTTGGCCTGTTTTTTTTTTCAACATTTTGCCTGCGGCGCAGAAAGTTGACCTAAACAAGGCCTTTTTTCAGCTTTGGGAGGGCTCCGAAAATCAGTTTAGTCAACCTGAAAATCCGTCCCCCTTCCAGGAAAATTCTATCCGTCCCTGTTTTGAAAGCAAAAGTCCTAGCCAGGTCCTAAGAATGACAAATCTGAGAAACAATCTGAGAAATAAAAACGACCGGAGGTAGTTATTTTTCATCCAGATAGTTGAACTCAACAACCAAGTGAAAGAAATATGAGTATTCCTGAATTGGAGCAAATAACCGCGTTTGAGCAACTCAATTGTTTTAGAACTAACTGTTTGTGGCAATTGTTACAGTAATTTACAGAGGTCAAATAAAATTATTGTCTCTAAGTTTATTGATTTAAAAATACGAATAAAAAACTGACTTCTGGATATCTTAGAATATCTTACTGTTGCGCAGTCAAATTAGCCGAATCAAAAAGTTACCTTATCCTTCTGATCTAACCACGCTGTCAAAGCTCCTACAATCTGGACCAAATGGATCGATCATTTCCAATTGGCGATCACCGCAAAAGATATCGTATGTTTTGTTAATTTAGAGAAGTCAGAGGGCCCACAAACTCAAAAGCCAATTCTCGAGCAAGTCTCAGGTGAGGAAATAGAAAAAACAAAAATTAGCATGGAAAAAAGAAACAAAAACACAATGGAGGAGTCAGGAACAGCTGACAAAAAATATGTCACCATGAGAAGAAGAAATTCAATGGATTGCGGAGAACAGAAACTGATAAGAAAATACGCTCCATTTTGATCCTGACTCTGGGGAATGAAGCGAAGTAGGGTTGTACCCTGCATACGTTAGGTTCAAAATTAAGCAAGTTTTAAAAGAACGATGGGCTATTCTGAGCACAGCTCTCAACAAACCTCCCAACACAATTTTTGAGAGTCACAAACTTCTGATCAAAAAGCAAAAAGACCAGAAAATTTGTTAATTTTTTGGTAGCTCGAACACATTTAGCGAGCACATGCAATATCATGAAAAGACTCGAAGCAGACTGGATTGGGGCGCGTAAGTCAGTCTACGTCGACCATCAGTTTATCGTCAGGCTTGTTTCTAATTTTTTTAATCAGTCTATGAATGTTGAGTAGAATTGGGTCCAAAATAATGTCTTTTCACAACAATCTGTCTCCGGGAACAAAATTGGTCCTCATACCCGTAGTTAGCCTTGAATCCAGCTTGGTTCTCTTTCGTAGTTCTCCGGTAATATCGTACAACCCAGCTGTAGGGTACTATTGCAAATTTTGAAAATAACTGCTAGAATGAAAAAACGTAATTGACTATTCTTGATCCCAATTAGGATCAAATGGTGGCGGTTCGTTGATAGCCCGCACTGATAAAAAAGGATTTCGATCGATTTTAGTATGAAAAAAAATGCAGATTAGATTGAAATCGATTTAAGTTGTGAAAAAGTAAGTTAATCAAAACAAAAAATTCAGATCGATTTGGATCAATTTTTTTTCACTTCTTTTTTTCCATGTACATGGTTACTCGATTTGGATTGATTTAAAATCGATTTAAAATCAATTTAAATTGACCGGAAACCATTTCTGTCAGTGCGGGTAGCTTATCAAAATGATTAGCAGACTCCTCCAGTTTGTCATGCGCGTCTTTCGCCGTGGTGCTTTCGGCTCTGTCTAATGTTAGAGCTCTCTTTTGCTGTTCACCTCATATTTCTATTGCCTTCTTGAAAACTTTTCTAGCGTCTTTGCTTTTTTCATATTATTGAGCTGTGAGTTCAGTTAATTGTTTTTTTTTTGTTTCGGAGCTTTAAAAACGAAGCATTAGCTCAATTACATTGTAGTTGTTTGCGCACTGCAATAACCCTCTGCATTGCAATAACCTTTGTTTGCATTGCAATAACCTTCTGCCCAGTAGGAAGGAAAAAACTCGTGGCTCATTATGTTTTTTTTTCTAGAACTTTATCGCTCTGAGATACTTTTTGCTGCCCGATTAATGGCTCATTCATTTTTTTCGATGGATGCTTAACAAAATAGGTATCCAATAACTATCTCCTGCTTTGTGTTTTTTTTTCATACTTTCAACTGCTTTAGCTTGGCGACAACAATTCTGTTATCTGATTTTCAGGAT